CTGAGATGTAGTTACACTGAGTTGTAGTATATGCCCAGGCCCTGGCTTGAACTCCACTAGCACACAGGAGCCGAGAATCTTCTATGTCAGTGCTAGACTGAGCCCTAGGAGGCAGCACACTGTGCCAACAGACCCTTGGCAGAGCTGGGAGACCTGGGACAAAAAGGATGTCTCACTTGATCCCTTCTCGGGCAACAGTGGTCCCACAGGCCAGGTGACTAGCAACAGAGTCGGTTGAACTTGTGCCCCTCAAATGTGTCCAGGATGCCAAGGACTGAAATGACCATGTTCTTGATCTTGCTCTGGTTCTCTCTTCCATTCTGTTCTTTCTTCCCCTCCCAGCTCCAGCTGAACACTATAGCAGCCCCATGCCCACGGAGCTTACAACCTGTAGGTCATGTCCAGTTTTTATGGCCACTAATAATTTGATATTTTAGCTAGGTAGTAGTGGTGCACACCTTTAGTCCCAGCATTCAGGAGGCAGAGACAGGGAATCTCTGAGTTTGAAGTCAGCCTGATCAACAGAGCGAGTTCCAGGACAGCTCGGGCTACACAGAAAAATCCTGTCTCAAAAAACAAAAAACAAACCTAAAAAATTTTTGAGATTTTAAAAAGCCATGGTAAATTATAGATTCTGTTATTTTAAAGTTTTTGTTTTGAGTGCTAGGCATTCAAATACAGGACTTCTTTTTTTTTTTAAATGACTTATGTATATATTTCTGTGCATTTTTGTTTTTTTCTGCATGTATGTCTGTGTGAGGGCGTTGGATCTCCTGGAGCTGAAGTTACAGACAGTTGTAAGCTTCCATGTGGGTTCTGGGAAATGAACCTGGATTCTCTGGAGGAACAATCACTGTTCTTAACCACTGAGTCATCTCTCCAGCCCCCAAATCCAGTACCTCTCGTATGCAAACATTCAACTGTTGAGCTGTAATTTTAACTTCTTAAAGTATTTTGATTGTTTTGTTGAGACAAGGTCTTACTCTATAGCCCTGGCTGGCCTAAAACTCACAGAGCTGTGTCTGCCTCTGCCTCCTAAGTGCTGGGATTAAAGGTATATGCCATACCTGGTCTCTCAAATTTTTTTCTTCTTAAATTTTAAGTTTTTGGCTTCTACATGGACGTGCAAGTGTATTTATGTGCATGGCACAGTTATGCATGGCAGTCCAAAGCCAACCACTTTGTTTTAGGGACAGAGCGTCTTACCAAGAAAGGGGTCTGGCTGGTTACCTGGCTGGACAGCAAGCCCCAGAGATCCACCTGCCTCTGCCTCCCGAGTGCTGGGATTAAAGGTGTGCGCCACCATCGCCCAGCTGACACTCCTCATTTTTTATGCTAGCACTTGGAACTGAACTTGGGTCCTCGTGGTCACTTGGGGAGCACTTTACTGACTGGCATATCTCTCCAGCCCCTACAATTTATTTTCTAAAAATATTTTTTTATCACTTTTATAATTTTGACTTTTTGAAACAGGATCTTGCTATATAGCTCAGGTTAGCCTCAAGCCAGTGACCCTCCTGCCTCAGCCTCCTGAGTGCTGGTACTGCAGGCCTGCTCTTACAACTAGCCTTTTATGAACGTTTCTGTTATGAGTGTGGGTGTTCAAAAGCTCTTAAAATATCCCCTGTAGGGGCTGAAGAGACAACTCAGTAGTTAAAAGCACTGGCTGCTTTTGCAGAAGTCCTGAGTTCAATTCCCAGCAACCACATGGTAGCTCACAACCATCTGTAATGAGATCTGATGCCCTCTTCTGGCATGCAGGCATACATGCAGTCAGAACACTGTATACATAATAAATAAATCTTTAAAAAGTTTATATCTTTTGTATATATTCCCAGAAGTGAAGCTTCTGGATCATATGGTAATCCTATCTCAAACTTTTAATTTATTTTTTCTCTTTAGATTTATTTGTTTTATGTGTATGAGTGATTTGTCTGAAAGTATATCTGTGCACCACCACATGGGTGCCTCATGTCCTTGGAGGTCATGATATGGGATTCCCCTCTGTATGTTATAATATCTTTTATTACCATTGCCTAATAAAGAAGCTGCTTTGGCCTATGGAAGGGCAAAATACAGCAAGATGGGAATTCCAAGCAGAGATAGAGGAAGAATGAAGGCTGAGTCAGGCAGATGCCATGTAGCTTCCCAAGAAGCAAGATGTAACAAACCACGAGCCTCGTTGTAAAATACAAAATAAAAAAAATGGGTTAACTTAAGATATAAGAGCTAGCTAGAAATATGCCTGAGCTGTTGGCCAAGCAGTGTTGTAACTAATATAGTTTCTATGTGATTACTCAGGTCTGGGTGGCCGGGAAAAGAATGAGCAGTCTCTGTTTACAGGTCACATGAGTGCAGTGCCCAAAGAGACCACCAGAAACCACCAGATCTCCTGGAACTGGTGTTAGGGATGACTATAAGTTACCATGTGGGTGCTGGGAATCGAAGCTGGGTCCTATGCAAGAACAAGTGCTCTTAACTGCCGAACCATCTCTCCAACCCTATTTCACTTTTTAAAAAATAATTTATCTTTATTTTATGTGCATTGATGTTTTGCCTGCATGTATGTCTGTGTGAGGATGTCAGATCTTGGAGTTACAGACATGGTGAGCTGCCATATCGTTGCTGGGAATTGAACCTAGGTCCTCTGGAAGAGCAATCAGTGCTTTTAACCACCGAGACATCTCTCCAGCTCCCCTAGTTCATCTTTTAAAAGATTTTTTTCCCATTCTCATAATTTTTATAATAAATGTGTTTGTGTATCTGATTGTCTGTATGTGCACCATGTACATGCAGTACCCATGGAAACCAGAAGGGCACACTGGATCCCCAGGAGGAGTTACAGACAGTTGTGCACTGCCATGTGAGTGATGAGAACCGCCTTAGTTGCTCTTCTATTGCTGTGATAAAACACCATGACTGAGACAACTTATGAAAGAAAGCGTTTAGCCTAAGCTTACACTTTCAGGAGGTTAGAGTCCATGATGGCTGAGCAAAGGCATGGTAGTGGGAACAGCTCACATCCCGGTCTGCAGGTAAGAAGCCAAGAGAAAGGGCACCCTGGGAAAGGGCACCCTGGGAAAGGGCACCCTGGAGTGATGCCAGTCTTTCGAAACCTCAAGCCTGACCTACAGTGACCCACCTTCTCCAACAAGGCAACACTTCCTTATTCAACTGGTGACAAAATATTAAAACATATGAGCTAATGGGAGCCATGGCCATTCAAACCACTGCCTCAGGCACCAAACTTAGGTCCCTTGCAAGAGCAGCCGGTTCTCTTAACTGCTGAGCCACCCATTCAGACCTCAGCCATTCTTTATAGTCTTATTCTGGTCTCACTTGCTGCGTGTTTTTTAACTAATTTTTCAACTTAGAATAGGAAGTAATAGATTTCATCATTTTTTTTAACTCCTAAAAAAGAATCTCAAGTGAGTTTCAGGACAGGCTCCAAAGCTACAGAAAACCCTGTCTCAAACACACACACACACACACACACACACACACACACACACACACAAAAGCAATCTCATTAAGCAGCCATTTTCAACTTGGAACTTTCTATGTAGACTAGGCTAGCCTCCAGCTTGCAGTGACTTTCCTGTCTTTGTCTTCTGAGAGCTGGAGTTACAGGTGTATAATGACATATATGGTCTCTTTGTGTGTTTTCTAGCTTGTCATTGAATAATAGGTAGATTAGTGTGAGCTTACTCACACTAATAATAGTGAGTAATAGAGTGAATACTTGTGAGCTATTATTTATACAATTCACATTGGCATAGATTCTTGTATATTGATACAAATTCAAATTATATTTGTTATATTGACTATGCTCCTACTTCTGTTTACAATATTTCTATACCTATGCAAAGTTATTTTGTCATATTGTATGCATGTATGCTTCTACCTCTGCTTAAGGCATTTTGTATATTGACACAGTTTTAGGATATATTTATCATATTGCACTATACATTTCTACCTCTGATCAAGATACTTCTTATACATTGTTCTCATTTGCTGCACAGTTGTTTAGAGATTGTTTAATATTCTAATATGAAGTCTTAGTCTTTAAGTTATATAGGTATTAAGATTCATAGGTCAATAGTCATCCATGTTTGTCATACTTAGACTAATCAGGCTCTTTAGATACATAGAGATTGTATTCTGCATAGATAGGTAATCTTCAACCACTTCAAAGAGCTGTAGAATATGGCTTAGGGTTCTGTTGAAGTGAGACATGATTGCTCCTGGCAGCACTGATCTATTCCCAAGACAATACTGAGCATTGAAGACACTCCACTTGGAGCTTGTTTTCTTCTTGGTAAATCTGG